CCCGTGGGCAAACCCACAGTGCAGAGGTCGCTATCGCAGAGTACTGTGTGTGTCACGGTCTACACATTGTTCTGGGGACTCTCAAAGGACATTATGAGGCTGCAACTCTGGAGAAAAGCAGGCTGGCGTCCCCTCTCCCTGTCCGTGGGGCACCCCAGAACTCCATGGGAGGCCAAACAGGAGCTTCCCAAAGCCCGGAGTTTGTGTCTGAGGTGGGAGCGTGGGGAGCTCATGGGGGCCAAACCAAGGGTTTGATCGGAGCTGGCCTGGGTGCCCTCCCCAGGGCTGGGCCACTCCTGAAGGCTTCACAAGGGGAGCTGTCCAACTGCCTAGGATGGGGAGGTGGGAATTGGCACTGAGGGAAGGCAGGTTCAAGGTCACAGGCCAGGGAAGTCACTGTTGGATGCTCTTCAGACATAAAGTGCCATCTTAGATGGCCAGTGTCCAAGGCCAGCCCGCCTTGGAGACTGGGTCTCTGGAACAAGAGACCAGGCCTGGGCACCCTGGGGAAGGAGCAAGCAGGCAGCAGGGTGAGGGTTTGCTGTAATTTTTTTATTGGGGTGGGAATGCTCTGGGCTGGCCCTGGCGTGGACACCTGTGTGCTCAGACGCTGAGGTTCACACACAGGAGTGGAAGTGGGCTCTGGTAGGCTGGGGTGGGCACGCTTTCACAAGAGGGTAGTAGAGACTGATTCCAGGCTGGGCAACAGCTGAGGGAAACCAGTCCTCAGTGCTTGGGGCCCAGCTGGGGAGCTGAGCTGAGGGGCCTCTGTCCTCCACCGGCTACTGGGCAGATGCTGCCCTGCCCCTGAGAGGCTGCTCCTTGGAGAGTGTCTCAGGCCCCACCCCGCAGTCCCTCTGTCATGCGAGCTGTCAGAGGAGGATCCTGCGGTCCAGGTGGTCCCCACGCCCACTCCGCTGGTGCTTCACTTCCAGGTGCTTGTTCTGAACCTTCTCAAAGTGCTGCAGCAGCTCTGCGTAGTCGATGTTGGGAGCGCTGGCTCTCTGGGAATTGGGGGCTGTCTTCAGACCGTCCCTGGGGAGGGGGAGGGGGAGTGGAAGGACTCGTGGTCAGTGTCTCATCACCACGGCGCTGGGGAGGTGGTACCCCAGACCACTTTGCCTGGCAATAGGGAGGGCAGCGGGGCCTGGGGCTCAGCCTCGGAGGCAATCTGTCTGAGGCCACCTTTCTGGACAGCCCCTGCAGCCCAGAGTTGGGGAGCCCCATGAACACCCCGCCAGTTGGTATACCGCTGCTCCCTGGCAGCCTGTGGGTTTGGTGACAGTGCCCAGAGCAGGCCTTGCATTGGGAAGCATTTCCTGTTTACCAGCAGCTCCCTTTGGGGTGCAAGCCAGGGCTAGCAGCCATCCAGGAAGCCAGCTGGGGCCTGGAACGGGGTCTGGGGAGAAGGGGGAGGTGGCAGCAGGCCCTTTCTCTGGGTGGGGCATCTGGTTTTGAGTGCTGGGGGCCTGGGCCCCACAGTGCTTCTCTGTTCCTCGCTGTCCGCTGCTCCCCCTCTAGCTCCCATCACCCTGCCCAGTTGCTCTGTGTACCAGCCCGCTGCCCCCCACACCACCCCTCAAACCCAGCTCTCTGTAGGGTGCCTCCCCATTCTGGTTGAACATCACATGAACTGGTCTGTTCTCCCTCCACGGTCTGAAACCCAAGCTGCGTGGGCAGCACCCACTTCCAGCCCTTGAGCCTGGCTGGGTCACTCAGTTACTCTGAGACTTGAGCCCTTTGAGATCCCAAAGGGAACTACATCAGTGTGAGCTTGTGCAGACAGCCCTGGACCCAACCCTCCCCAACCTGCCACGTCCTGGCTGTCAGGCTGGAGAGGGGGCAACTACAGGGACCCCCTTCATGGGGTGGCTATGAGGATGCATGAACTCAGCCTGATGCCAGGTCACCTGGTGGCATCCACCCGGCCCTGAGTTGGGCTTATTGGCAGCCAGACAGAAGCTCAGCAATGAGCTGGTCTGGGCTCTGCCAAACAGGGGTCAGAGCCAGCCAGGTGCCCGTGAGCAGCCACTGGGAAGCCCTCCCATGACCGGATGCCCACTTGGAGACTGGAGGTCCTCCCCATCTTTACGTGGGCCCCCCTGCTTTCAGCTCCCCTGGGGCGGGGCACCACCCGATGGCCCAGGCATAATCAGCAAGGAGTCCTGAGAGCAGCCTGGGTTTGCGGAGGCAAAGGGACACATGGGGCTAGCAACCCTGGTCCAAGGAGGGGTAATGGGGCACTGGATGCTGCGTGCCTGTGAGCCTGTCCTGTCTCCATCCCAGCGCTGCACCCTCCTGGCAAA